TTTCAGGAGCTCAAAGCAGCACACATAATTCTCTGCCCTACCTTAGCTGCTTATTTCACAGGGGTGTTATAAGGATAGTTTGGTCGAGTGACTGTAACTAGTCTAGAGTAAAAGAAGAGTTTGGGGGTTGGGGGGGGTTGAGTCAAGGCTTCTGTAGTCCTAGTTCAGCATTCTTGGAAGCCTTGTAACCCATCCCTGTGGTTCTAAACTTATGACAAGGTGTTTATTCTCTCCCTTAGGAGGCTCAAGAACTACACACTGTTATTTATTTATTTAAAAGATCTGTATGGCCGTCCATCTTAAACGTTAGTATATTGACAAACTAGACAGACAGAAGAAAAATGGTTGAAATAAAAGCTACAATATCACACTGTAGGTAATTTAATTGGTTTTGAGTGTTTGCTACTCCCACATCTTCAGAATTGCAGTTTTCTTTCATTTGAAGTGATTTGCAAAACCCAGGACTAGGCCACTTGTGTAAGCTTATCTTGTTTCCTACGTACATCCTCTTACACCTGATATTTACTCGATGGTTAATGAGCCTGGAGCCCATTTCTGTGGCTTTGTGAATGAAATTTGTATAGCTCTTGTAGTTTCTAATTTAAATGTGTTGGTTTCTAACTCGGCAAACATGCCATGAGAGTACAGAAGAGGCTGATGGGATCCTCACGCTATGTGCCAATCCTATTGGTGCATGACTTCCTAATCAAATGGGATTTTTTTAATTTAATGAGTGGGTTCTCCTATGATCACATGAAATCTTGATATTATTTCTTGTCTTTATGCAGGATGTGAAGAGCACTTTTGAGAGGTAAGGAACAAATCCCTCTTCAATGAATTTGGTAGTTCAGCTGCTGCTTCTTATAGGGGCTGGCAAGGTTGTTATTAACTGTTATCATTAGAGAAGCAATGTAACTAGCTTAAACATAAAGAGTCAAAGTTCAGTATCTAGAGGAATGTGTATCTGTTTCCACATTGATTCCCTGTTTTTCTTAATTCATTTAAAATTTTTTAAATGAAATTAAGGTGGGATACTTTACACCAGGGTTCACAGTCTTTAGTGAAGTTTACAGTGTTACTTGGGCTTTGAGTGGCATTCTGGGGCCATTTTTCAAAAAAGTTGATAATGCCAGGAAAAAAAATCCATTTGGCTTAATTTAATGTGAATGTTATTTGCAACAAGTTAATGAAATTATCGTTTGCGACACTGT